TTAATATTTAATAATTAAATTATTTATAATTTAAAATATTTAATTCCTTTGAGTAAAATTGATAGTTATAGTTGTTTAAAAAAAAAAAATCAAAACAAATGCCTCTAAAAAATAAATAATAGAAAGTCATGGTGGGTCTTTTGGGCTTCAAATGAAATCATAATATGAACCAGATTTGAATAAATCAGATACAAGTTAAGCCCAACCACACCACACAATAGTCGAAATGGTCATTGATTCGTTACCTTCATTAGGCTACAAATAATGGGCCTCATGCCTAGTGCTACTGCTCAATTAGTCTTGGAAATTTTGAGTTGGAGCCTGTAACTGGAGGAAATGAATGTGCTACTGGGCTTAATGCTTATTGTTGTGTCCTGGAGTAGAGCCCGTTTAGCTGTGTTAAGGTTTTTTCGTAAATGTAATGAATTATGAAAATGATGTAAGTTATAATGTGACGTAATATTTTAATCTTATAAACATGAAGTGTCATGATTTGATTTCTTTTTTATTTAAAGATTTATTTATGATATTACATTCATTTATTTATTTTATGCGACATTTTGATTATAAAATTATAATTTTATGTAATATTATAATTATATTATTACTATTTAAATTATAAAATCTTTTTTTTTTTTTTGAAAATTCGCCATTCATGAAATCTTAATTTTAAATCGGAAATCTAGAGCTCAAACTTTGATACTGGTGAAGAGAGATGGATTGTAATCTCAAATTTTTATTAAATGAAAGACCTTTAAGAGATTATGTCTAATTCTCTATCAATAAAAAAAGGGCTTAATTTTTAAAGTTTGCTAGTCAAAATTTCAAAAATATAAGAGTAAAAACAGTAAAAACGGTTATATCGTTTCATTAAAACAATTCGGGAAAAGTTCAAAATAATTTTATTTTTGGTTTTAAAAATATATAATTTTAATATTTTTCAGTAAGAGTTTAATGAAATGATGTAGTTTTGATATATATATATATTTATTTATTTATGAAAAATCTAAATAAACTAAATGAAAAATCAAGTTATAACAATTAGCCCAAGAGTTTCTCTTTTATTATGAGCAAGAGACAGAATATGATAAAATGCATGAATGCTTTATGTGACTTTTAGAATTATTTATTCATTCATTAGGAATGCTATTATTGTTTATTCTTTTCTTGAAACTAAACCTTTCAATATAGTTCCCTTAACTTTCCTTGTTCGTGAGCTTGTATCAACCTTAGTTCCTAGTAATTAAGGAATGGGATTGTGTTATCGAAACAGCTCAATACTACAAGCTATTATTTATGATCTGTTTACCACATTTTGCACCTTAGAAAAGTGCCCCCTTTCTAACAAATCCTTTATATGGATCTCAAAATGCTCCTGCATTTTGTTTATTTTTGTAAATTTGATTATTTTGTGACAGAAATCAATTAAATCAAAATTTTGGCCTCCATGTTAATTTTGGTTACTAACAAAATTTATTTTCTGATCTAGGAAACAACACTATTAGCTTGTTCATTGGCTGGTGCATGGTCTGTGTAGTAATTACTTGTGGTAATACCAAGTTGGATGCCCTAGAAGCAACTAAAATCCCGACTGAAGATTGTTGGCTTAGAGGAACTGCATTCAGGCTTGGGGTATGCCTATGGCACTAGTGACGTATATAATATATTGTTAGTTTTCCATGTTGTGAAGTTTACCTTCTTGATTGGATTGGGTGCTTTAAATATTTATCAGTGGTCACTTGATCTATATGAATAATGCACTTTCCAAATTCCATATAAACTCGAATGCTTTACTGATTCAATTTTGTGCCAAAATGTCAACCTTCCCACCTGGTGTAGTTGTGCCTCTATCAACTGTCTCATTTCAAGCGGGATTCCTTATATTTTTTTGCAGACCTAAGGGTTGGATTTTGGGGAAAATGTAAGCTAAAACACCAAAGCTCTTAATCTTCAAGGGTATTTGAAATATATATATATATATATACACACACATACATAGTGCTCATGCATTTAATTAGTAGAAATTGTTCAGCGATCCTTTGATAAGGACAACATAGAAGAAAGAATAAAGTAACTCATATTATACCATACATTTTATAGTCCTACCAAGGGCTAAAACTTATTCCCAATACCCAACATAGAAGTATGGTACATGCAGGGACAAAAAGAAAAATGCAATGTTGGTTTGAACTGTCTTGTACGATAGCCAAGAATATGATGATCTAAAGAAAATATAATTTTTTTTATATGAGAAAATATCAATTCTCAATCAAGTATAATAGTGTATTAATAAATTTTTGAGCATTCAACATTACAGATTATAGAACCAAATTGAAACACTCTCCAATTTTTAACTCTTTTTATGGTTGTCCCTCCTAAAACCCAAACCTCCACCAAAATGCTCTTTATCTACTAGCTAAATTAACTACACATTTCAGGGAAGTACTCTAACCCAAGAAAAAGGATGGGAAAAATCAACAAATCAAGTAGGAAAAAGAAAAGAAAAAAACCATTGCCTATTTTCAAAAAAAAAAAAAAAAAGAATGATAAAAGAATCTTGAATGAATTCAACATGACTTCTTTTTTTTTCTTTTTTTTTTTCTTTTTGGGTGAGAAAGCTTTCTTGGATTTGATACTCCTGTAATCAATTTAGCCTTAAAGTCACATCATTCTCTATCACTGATGCATAACAAATTAAATTATCTATTATTATCTATTATTATCTATTTTTTTGTCCCTAAAAGTAGAGCACATTCTTAATACCTTTGAATGCAAATTAATTCAAGAGCTACTTAAATATCAAGATGGAAATCTCAAACACAAAAGCTCTATAATTAATCAAAGGCAACTCTAATCCTGTCCTCCAAAAGATATTCTTACACCCTGTATTCTTCAAAAGAAAGAAACAAAAATGCAACAAATATCCAAAGAAATGCAAAAAGGACAGAATAAATGTTTAAAGCAATGTAGTTAGAACCACTTTCTAAGACACAAACTACAACAAGCAACGCAAACATAAAACAACCCTATAAACTGTAAAAGAACTCAGACTCAAGAGTTAAGATCCCCCATTACCTTATCAACATATTGCTGTGTTGTAACAAAACCCACAGTTTTCTTCTTAAATGCAATTTCATGAATCTAAACAAACAAATAAAAAAAACTTACATTAGAACCTCTAACTACACTTTTTTATTAGAGAAGAAATAAGACAAAAGTTTCAATTTAGGCAAAATAATTAATATAAGAAATAAAAGAGAATGAAATCCATACCCATATGTTAAAATTTTAGAAATTGGCAAACATAGCGAAATGAATTTCAAATATGCTCAAAAGCAAAATCAAATCAAGTCTTATTATATGTATAGATTTCTAAAGCCAACATGTCTACCAATTTAACTATTAATTATTAGTAAAAGTTAGTAAAAGGCTATTACATTAGATGTAGGATTATGCCTTTGATTTAGTCCACCAAAATTTACATGTGCTATATATGCTATGAGAATCATACATATATTGATCACATTTATCAATACATATTAGAAGAAAAGACCCCACTGAGTCTTTTGTACAACTTCTATAACATTTTAAGAACAAACTTCTTTTGGTAGGTTAACCAAAATTTTTTTTTAGGTTACATTACAAAATCATAAAATAAAAGGACACTTATGTATACACCTTTCAAAAATTACACATTTCAAAAGTTATATATTTTATTACACACTAACGGTTTTTGTTAGTGTGTCGTTAAAATTGACAGAAACCATTAATTTTAATAGTAAAAATAATGAAAACAATCAGTTTTAACAGTATAAGTAATGAAAATTGTCAATTTTAATGGCACACTAACGGAATCCGTCAATGTGTAACGGAGTGTATAATTTTGGAACGTGTATATATCATTTCCCAAAATAAATCCAAGGAAGAACATACCTAGACTTGCAATTGAAGTGATTTAAGGAACTCAATGGATTCATTCAGCATCA